TTCAATCTATAGTGGAAACCTTTATCCTCGGCGTGACCTTCAGGAAATGCAATCATCACTCCACCAGCACGGACAAGAGAAGGCGCAGCAAATAAATCCCTCATTCCACTTTTGCCAGACCCACTTTTTTGGTACCACCTGCGTCTTCATCGGCACATAAATGTCAAATGGTTGCGGCATTCGCACATCCCCTGACTGCTGCCCTTCCGCGTTAGCAGCTCCAAATCCACAGCAAAAAATCACGACGAGAAGCAGCACCGCGGAAGCAAACACACGCCGGGACATGTTGGGCCTCTGCGGCTCACTCTCTCCTCCTTCCCTCCTCCTTCCGCTGGATCCGGTCACGCGGCGACGGTTGTGTGTGCGGGGAGCCTTGACTGCAGCAACACGTGAGAGCATACAAATATGTGTGAGCGGTGTGTGTGTGCCTTTCAGAGCCTTACAATTTCACAGTAGCGATTCGCGCTTGTTTTCTTTCTTTCCTAGCGTGACTGTGTTCAACAAGTGAAGAGTACAGCAGCAACAGCGGCAATACACCAGGCACGTCCGTGAGGAGCAGAACACCCACGCAGAGAGCAGGATACAAGAGAATCCGGAAGGGGCGACTCCACTCTAGCCCACAGACACACACACGCACACACGCACACCATCGCAGCGCCGTCAGTCCGTGGGTGAGAGGTTTTGGCCTTCCACACAACAAACGCACACACCGCCAGCAATCAACCACCAATGGACGAGGAAAAGACACACGCCACCGCCTCCAGTTCAATCCCACGGACAACGAGATACGGCCACAGCCCGCTGCCAACACACAACGCACACGGAGCGAGCAATCACCCAAGGAGCCACACGCGGGAGCGATCCTCATCCATTCATGACGCGGCGACAAAATTTCCAGCCATTCCACCCACAACAGTCGCAGCCCACCGTGCGCATCACACCCGCAGGAAGAGTGACTCGCCGTGCGCGCTCCCTCTCCCCTCCTTCCCTTCATGCCCACTAAAGGAAGCAGCAGCCACCCGCACGCACTACAAAAGAAGCATTACAATTCACTGCAATGTGCATCTTGTGCGTGCATGTGGTTGTGTGCGCCTGCAGACACACGAAGCAAAGAAGTAAAAACAGGAGCAGAGCATGTGAAGGGACGCACAAACAAAAATGTACAGCAGAGGTGCATGGCAGAAATAACAGGACTGCTCAGACTCATGATACTGCACTGCAGACCAAGCAGAGGCAATTCAAAGAAGATTTATTTAAAATAATTAGAAAAAACAATTCCCTTTCATCATATATTAGCCCC